TTTTAGCATCAGACCAAAAAATGTTTTGTTTTTTCGAGCAACGTTTGAGCAAGTTTAGTTACAAAAAGCCACTTTTGTTGTTTCCTGAGCAACTTTTTGTGAAATCACGGGTAACTTATTGGAAAATCTCGAGCAACTTGTGTAAAGCCCACCTGCTCATGCAAAAGATTATTAAAAAACTATATCATAGACACAGATCACGCTTCCGGTATCAGGCCCTTTGTCGACCATCGCGCCCTCTTTTGCAAGTCAATGATTCTACTTTCGAGCCAAGCTTCAGATACATGTGCTTTTGTTGGTTTCCTTTCAACTTTTGTTTTCATATCCGCCAAGTGCTTCTACAGGTTGCAAGCTGTCTCTAAGGATTTTTCAATGGATAGCTATGCTAGTGAGTTGGCTCTCTGTTCTGGAGTTCTTTCCTAGATTGTAATTAATCTCATGTGAGAGGTAAGTGTTTCAAGGAAGCGATCGCTGTAAGTACAATCCATTTTTGTGTCCTCTACTTCCATATTTTTATCTTTTACTTTCGCGGGTATTAGTTCGGGGTTGCAGGAAAAGCCCCGAAAGAAATTAAACGTCTTGACCTGCAGCTCATCTCCAAATATTCAATCTTTGCACAGTTGCTGCTTCTGTAAACTGGAATTCTCTGCCTATTTATACATTAAGAGCGGCATCATGTTGACTTCCTCAAGTCAACGCTCAAAGAATGTTTTCGTAACGAAGCCGTAATTTTGTTATTTGCAACGTCAAGTTTCAGGGCAAGAAATTGTCAAAGACTAAACAAAGTGGATTAAACTGCCGTTGCACAGTCCCTTAACCACTCAGTAATGAAGCAGTTTGTTGTACATAAGACAAAATTTACTGAAAAGAGTTTCTTAAAAGGAAACAAAAACTGATTAGATATGGAGTGATTTGTTGCACGAAAGACTGGCTCGGCGTCGTGTCCAATTGCATTATGGGACTGTTTCTGGGACGCTATCGCGTCTTACTAGGAAGCTTAAGCACAGGCCAGAGCAAAGGCGTTTTTGTGCTTCGCACTTTAACCGGAAGTGAGGTCNCTGTTCTGGAGTTCTTTCCTAGATTGTAATTAATCTCATGTGAGAGGTAAGTGTTTCAAGGAAGCGATCGCTGTAAGTACAATCCATTTTTGTGTCCTCTACTTCCATATTTTTATCTTTTACTTTCGCGGGTATTAGTTCGGGGTTGCAGGAAAAGCCCCGAAAGAAATTAAACGTCTTGACCTGCAGCTCATCTCCAAATATTCAATCTTTGCACAGTTGCTGCTTCTGTAAACTGGAATTCTCTGCCTATTTATACATTAAGAGCGGCATCATGTTGACTTCCTCAAGTCAACGCTCAAAGAATGTTTTCGTAACGAAGCCGTAATTTTGTTATTTGCAACGTCAAGTTTCAGGGCAAGAAATTGTCAAAGACTAAACAAAGTGGATTAAACTGCCGTTGCACAGTCCCTTAACCACTCAGTAATGAAGCAGTTTGTTGTACATAAGACAAAATTTACTGAAAAGAGTTTCTTAAAAGGAAACAAAAACTGATTAGATATGGAGTGATTTGTTGCACGAAAGACTGGCTCGGCGTCGTGTCCAATTGCATTATGGGACTGTTTCTGGGACGCTATCGCGTCTTACTAGGAAGCTTAAGCACAGGCCAGAGCAAAGGCGTTTTTGTGCTTCGCACTTTAACCGGAAGTGAGGTCATCTTCATTTTAAAGCACATTGACGCTACCAAATTTATATTGCTAAGTGTCTTTACTATTATAGAGACGATTTGTCCTAAAATTTGGGCAAAACCACTGTCCAAAAATGAAAAAAACACCACTTCCGTTTGAAGTGCGTGCGTCGCTCAAAAATGAGCTCACTATTTGCTGACTATTACGAGGTTGCACAGGAAACTGTGGCAAATAATCGTCCCCAAAAACTATTCCATGGTGCAATTACACACAAGACTGCAAAATGGCCAAAAGAAACTTACTACCATACTTTTCCAATCTGCAACTTTGCTGTCACTATTTAACGGCTAAGCCTTCGCTTGGCTGAGCTGACAATGTGGAAATGACTGTCCCATCTCCGGTAGGAGATGTAAAAACACTGTCCTCAATAAAGTATTTTCGTGCCAATTACATATTGACATTTTCACTGGCAAATTTAGGAGAAGGGCCCGAAGGGCCTGGGCCCCCACTCTATTTTTAGGGCAAACTGAGGCGCGTAGTGTCAAGAAATATTATTTTCTAGCTAGATCAGGCCCCCTCTTATCAGGGTCTTGATGAGCAGCTTCCCCCACTTGCTTGAGGATCTGATCATGAATCCGTGGTTTTAATAGAGTGCGTTTTTCATTCATCATCATCATCATCGCCGTCGTCGTCATACCACCAATAAGACCATCATCATCACAGCCAACATCAGCAACACAATTATCAGCATCATCACCATCATGATCATTATTATACTTCAACAATGACGTCCATCGCCTGCAGGAACAATTCGCGGCCAACTTAATGCGAGCGAATTTTTCTGGAGTGGAATTCTTAGAGTCCGTCAGTCCAGAAGTTCAGAAAAAGAGAAATAGAGAAAAAAAAATCGTGGTGTGGTTACATTCACCACAAAACTAGAAATTTATGAAAGAAATGTACCAAAATGTGTGCTGTTAGAACGTTTTCTCTCACGTGCGCTTGACCTGCACCGTTCTAAAACTCTTATTCCATTGGTCCCTTTTAATCTGCACTTCCACTGTTTTCAGGGACAGGGGCATTGTTATGTCACAATCCTTATTGTTTTCCCAGCCAATCACAAACAGTTGTTCAAATAGGTGGCCAGCAGCTATGCAAATTTATAGGGACACCAAAATGGAGGACGCGACGTAATCGGCTCCTAGAAAACGCTCATATCGTCGTTCTTTTTTTATTATTATCATATGACGCTCTCGTTGCCGTCGTGGTTGCGTTAGCTCCCTAATCACGTGGCAACCTCAAGTGCAATGTTTCATTCGTTGCACATTTGAATAAAAAAACTCAGTGCTTGTAAATAGCGAGAATCGCTTTCCTTTTTTACGGTAACGTTGCGGTCGCGGTTGCTCCTTATATCGAATGCCCTCACAACTGTACAATACAATGCTGTCAAAAATGCCGAATCACGACATCACTGATGCAGAAAGTCGATGTGACGTCAATGTATCTGCATTGATAAGTAGTAAAACGGACTGATCACAGTTTTTTACAGGATTGAAGTCTTTTTCCCTGTTTTTACTTCTGGTAAGTAGTAAAGCCTTAAAGTTTCAATATTTAGACTTGCGCAAGCTAGAAAGTGTGCAATAAACTTGCTGTGGCCGTGTGATGGTTGTGAGTAAGTGTAAAACTACAGCTGCAAATGCGTGAACCTATACTTACTAAACGAAGCGTCTATTGGTCTCGATTTCAATCATTTGTCTAGGGAGTTTAGGTTTTTCCACCTGGAGATATTAAAGTAAGGAACAAGATTTGACATTGTTTTGAGGCATTAGCACACTTTGCAGAATGTTTAGTACACAGTAAATGTTAATCTAGAAAACTGATTGCGGAAGTAGATATTTGCATGTCAGAGAGGAAACAAAAACCTGATTTAAATCCTTACTTTTCAGACGCAAAAAAGTCGGTGTTTTTAAATGAAAAAGAAACATTTTTGCTCTTTAAATAAACGACAAAACATTGATTTTCTTTTGAAAGAAGTGTGCTTGCTCCAGGCAAGAGAAAAAAGTCTAATCCTGCTATCCATGTTGCTTTTAATATACTCAATTGATTAATTACTTTCCTTTTATTAGACAAATGACTTTGATATTTGACGTCTAAAGAAACAGGTAAGATTATAATTCATCCAGTTAATATAGACTTCTGTCGTCCATAGTGGTTGTATATTAAATATCAAGGTTGTTTTTGGTACTCCATATATAGTAAAGACGATAATTCAAGCCATTATTTTACCTTCAAAGACGAACTAACTAGAGACCGTTATGCCTAATTTTAAACAAGCCAAACCTAACAATTCACAGTCAAAACCTGAGAGATCGATTTTAAAAGGCTGCAGGTGAAGCGAGTTTCCGCTCTGTATAGTAAGCAATTTCAGCGGAAATACTGCATGTCGCATTCTGTGGAATTGTGATGGCTGTGACTTGGTTTTAAATATTTAGACACGAATGTCGATTCCAAAAATTCATCTTCAAATTTGATTGTGTTAAATACTGCCGTTTAGATATTGCCTTTGCTTGTTCATGGATGAGCTAGCGGGCCTTCGCACAGGACGATATTCTAGTCGATTCTAGTTCAATGGATATATCTATGAACAAACGATGCGGCTATTCCAACAATGACTTCATCGGGTTTTAAGGTGCAAGGAGGAAGGGAAACAATGAACCTTGGAATGTTAGTGTAAAATCGACATTTGAAGGACATTCCCGGTATCCTACCGCTCTCTGTGAGGGTCCTCAGGTAACAGAAAACGAGAAAGAACTCAACACATTTTTCAAATACGACGAAACCGTCTAAACCTCTGTATACTAAGTAAGCGTAAATGTACACGCGTTATTGACCAAGTGTGAGGTCAATATCTTGCTAGATATTGGCCAGTTTTTTGTGCATCTTTATGGATGAAGGAGAGGTCGCACAGCAGAAAAAGAAAGCCAATATCCCACCTTAACCTATACGCTTGGTCAATAAAGGATTTGTCATATGGCCAAAACAAATTATGACTTTTGGGTACAACGTGGGCAATCCAAAAGGGGTAATATAGGCTCATTTTCTTCATCAAGTAGCCTGCTAACGGAGCCAACCATAATATAAATATTCCCATTCAAGAGATATATATGACAGAATATATATGACAGAAATGTTGCGTTAATTTTCAGCTTTCCATGCAATTACCAGTAGCTCTCACATATCCTCACGTAAGACCTTGCCCTTGTCTATTAAATTGCATGTTTTTGTTTAAGGCATGGAACAATCAGCAGCAAGCGTTATGGCCTTGTTGATGTCGGTGTTAGTAACTCCTCCTGCATGTGGTGTGAGGACATTTGACACAGGCGCCGGCAAAGTGCACAAGCTAAGTGTGACTCAAGATGTCACTCTAGAGAGGGGAAGCCAAAACTTCAACAGTTTAGAATATCTCATAGTATCCAAACACCCGGAATATCCCAACAAGCGCTCATTGGTCCAGTTTGAAGATCTTCCCAGTTCGTGTCCATCATCAAATGTAATTTCAGCCAAAATGTACCTGCACTATGAATATTCCCACGAAGCAAGGTTTAGTTCTATCAAAAGTGTCCCTTTTATTCCGCGTTATTTGCAAGTGTACCTGGTTAAAAAACCATGGGTTGAATCTCAAACGACAAGTAATGTGCGCCTCCGTGGCATCCCTTGGTCTTCACCGTGGCTAGCGCTCAACAGCACCGACGCAGAGGCAAATCCCCAGCAGGGAACTGTCACTATATTTCCCTACCGACCCACAGGTTTTGTGGAGTTTGACGTCACAAATGCGGTGAAAGACTGGAGTAGCGGAGTGCCTAATAACGGCTTGGTGATACGCGCAACAAATGAGCTGGATGCTGGTAGAGACACGCGCTTTGCCAGTAACGCCAATTCTGATACTTCAAAGCATGCGTTTGTTTTGGTACATTGCAGTGATGAGGTCCGGCCGTATACTCCACCACAGCAGCCTTTTGCGACTGCCAACTCGAGTGATAGTAATGGTAATCGTTCTAGCACATTGGACCCCACTTTTGGGCACACAATAGTAGCTCTTCCTACACATGATGACACAGGCGCGGGTAAAGTCTACAAGCTAAGCGTGTCTCAAGATGTCACTCTAGAGAGGGGAAGCGAAAACTTTAACTGGTTGGAATATCTCATAGTGTCCAAACACCCAGAACATCCCAACAAGCGCTCATTGGTCCAATTTGAAGATCTTCCCAGTTCGTGTCCATCATCAAATGTGATTTCAGCCAAAATGTACCTGCATTACGAATATTCCCACAAAGCAAGTGATTTTGTCCCTTTCAGGCCGCGTTATTTGCAAGTGCACCTGGTTAAAAAACCATGGAACGAATCTCAAACAACTAGTACTATGCGCCTACGCGGCCTCTCTTGGTCTTCTCCGTGGCTAGCGCTGAACGGTACCGACGCTGAGGCAACTCCCCAGCAAGGAACTGTCACTATATTTCCCGTACGACCCAAAGGTTTTGTGGAGTTTGATGTCACGAATGCAGTAAAAGACTGGAGTAGTGGAGTACCTAATAACGGCTTGGTGATACGCGCAACAAACGAGCTTGATCTTGGCAGGGATACACGCTTTGCTAGCAACGCCAATGCTGATTGGACAAAGCATGCTTTTGTTTTAGTGCACTGCAAGGATGAGGTCGGGCGATATAACCCGTCACAGCAGCCTTATACGACACCCTCCCACACATCAAGTACTCCTTTTGAACAAAAAAATCCCACCCTCTCCTTAGCTCTTCCTGCACATGATGTGAAGATGCCTGACACAGACAGGCTTAGCGTGACTCAGAATGTCACGCTAGAGAGGGGAAGCGATGGCACTAACAAGCAGTTACAGAAACAAGGGGGTGGCTGGTCCATTCACAAAAGTTCTTTGATGACGTTCATTCCCGCATTCTTCGTTAGTACGGCTTCAGCTTTGATGTAATTCTTTTCTGTACAACAGTTTTTTCCTGAGACTGAGCGTAAACTCTAGCTATCTCTATGTCTGAAGCAGACGGAAACTAAAAAAGTCGTTAACGCGTCTCGTACAATATTTTGTCTGTAAGAGTTAAAGATAAGACTTTATATTTTAAGTGGTCAGTACTCTTTAGCCTGCGAGCAAGCTCTCCGGAGCGGTCTGAACCCTCCCCCTCTCCTGTACCTCGTGGAGAGCTTGCTCGCAGGCTAAAGGTGCGTTCACACTTCAGGGCACTAGTTCCCGTGCACGGGTACAAAATGGCGCTTTGTTTACACGCCGGGTACCCAAGTTGTCTTTCGTCCACTTTGCCCCGTCAGCAGACGTCATTTTTGCATCCGTTTTATTGTATAGGGACACCAATATGGCAGACCTGACGTCATGCGAAAACCCTAAAATAAAATACTTTTTAGATGTTATCGTTGCCTTCGCTGTCGTGGTTGCGTGAACTCCCAAATCATGTTCCAACCACAAGTGCATTGCTTCTTGAAACTAAAGATTCTTTTGTTTCCTTCTTAAAAAATGTAGTGTTTGTAAACAGTGAGTATCGTTTTCTTTTTAACTGGGCTGCCGGTGCACGTGGCGAGCCCAGTTTATCAAATACGTTCCCTTCTCAGGGGTATTTCTGGGAAGTCGTAGTGGCGGTGCGCCGTCCGGCTCTCCTAATCTTGACTAGACTGCGTGTAGTCCGCCCTTTCTCTTAAAATCCGTCTAGTTCTTATCTCATCCAGCGCGATTGCAAACCACGACGTTATTATTACAATAAGGGATTGAGCCCTCGTTTCTCGCGGCTCGCGGCTTTGCCGCTCGCCTGCTTTGGTTTTGCGTGCAGTAACTTTGCAAAGAAAAATAAGAGACTGCTCGCAGTCTAAATCTTGACACTGTTTCAGAGCAATAACTATAAGGTTAATGTAAGGGAGTACCCCTCCCCCCGGTATTCCGGGATTTATGTCGAGAAATGAACACTATGAACACTGCGCTTTTTCATCGTCTCGTTGAAAAGATGCTACGATGAGCACCTTTTGGGTTTTTTCTTCACTTCTTTTTGAAGTTTAAACCTTTCGAGGAGTTTCTTTCCTTGCAAACTTGATTGCAAATCTCTCTGTGTCAAGATTTCATTCGCACTTTTTTTTCAGTTCCTTCTTCGAAAGGTGGTAGGATGGGTCGCTTTCGTAGACTGCAAAACAGTCGGGTTTTTTTTCTGAAAATCAGCAAAGAAATCCGGGTAAAGTGTGGCGTAAAAGTCTTACGCGCGCGAAGCGCGCGAGCCTCACACTCCCCTATTTTAGCGTCTCCCCCCAATCTCGCTCTCTGTTTTTCAACCTCGTTCCAGACGTTTTGTTTGACTGCTCGCGCGTTCTTGAATACGCAAAAATACGGACTGTTTCGCAGTCTATCGCTTTCGCAGTTTCTCTTCGCTTTAAACCGTTTAAAGTCTCTTTTTATCTTATTGCAATTCTTGCTCTGCGAGTGAAAAGTCATTCCTTACAGGAAAGGAATGTACTCATTGTAGATAGTCACGTCCAAAAATACATACAGGCAGAAAGGCTATAAACGCAATATCAGACAAAAACAAACCTTATTGTAATTTGCTTTGTCCAGAATTTATTGAAAAATGTAATGCTGGTTATCAGTATAGCTGACCCTGTC